GAAAGTTTATTTAAAATATATATTTAATACTAAAACTAATTTATTTAAGTCATTTTTATGCCTCCGAAAGTTACGGTTTGTTTCATTGCTGCATGATAAAAAAGGTTTCATTGTAAAATGTTATTCTAACCCTGAATTTATTTGCATAATTGGAATTAAATTAGCGTAAAAATGGAGCTAACATGTTCAAACTGTTGTTGGTCAGATTTTATACTTTATAAAATATGTATATTTTAAACTTTTGCAATTTTCATGTAACATAAGTTAACAAAAACATAATAAAGTTATGTTTGTTATAAAGTTTTTTAACAATATATGCAAAAGAATATTAAATGTTACATTTTTGCATTTAAAGTTTTGAATAACCATGCTTAGTTAGAGCAGAATTTCATTTTAAATTTGTGTAACGTAAGTTAAAACTACAAACATTTTCTTAAGTTCTGGCGCTTTTTTGTTAACAAAATGAATTATGTCATTAAGTAATTATTATCTCGTTAACTGGAACTTTTTATATTAGAAGAATTTAGAAAAAAAAAAAATTTTTTTTTTAATGTTATTTAAAATTATTTACACTATTGCTTTTTTTTATTTGTTTATATATTCTTATTTTATTTGACATAAATACACATAAATAAATAAAAATAAGAATTATATAAATATTTGTATTTTGACATTAAAAAAGACAAATTCATTTGCTATTCTCCTAATATAAAAAAAATCAGAATTTTTTTTGTTTTTGTTTTAGTAAAACAAATCGTTTGTAAATGCTATTATGGGTCATCCATAAAGCATGTCACCCTATATTTGTCAATTTTTAACCCCTTCCCTCATGTAACAAACAATCACATAAACCTGAATCCCTCTCCCTCCTACTGGACAGTTTTTCTTTAAAAATTATTTTAAAAGATTTAAATGTAAATATTTTGCAGCATTTTAAAAAATCAACCTAATGAAAATAAGACAATACGCATAAACGTAAGGAGTGTAAGTAAAAACTTCGACAAACCAAAGATTTTTTTATTTAAACGACTCAATTAAGTATTAAAAAGTTGTAATACTAAAACAATTTTTCAAAGCTACTCTTTGTCTTGCGGAAAAACTGTTTTCGATTTAATAACTTTTATAAATGTTAGGAAAAATCAATCAGGAAGATTGCCACCAGTTTTTTTAAATGTCCTTTGTTAATTATTTTTAATGAATAAGCTAAATACCTTTGAAATTGTCTTGTTACATAACTCTAACTCAAAATAATAGAAGTTAAAAATCCACGATAAAAATCGCAAGGTAACAGAAGTGATCTAACGTAAGTTAGATTTATGGTATCAAAAAAACCACTTTATTTTCTTTACCCGGTCACCTCCGGGTAAAGAAAATAAACTGGTTATAAAATTTGATATATTTTTGAAATTGGCATAGAATTCTAACATATTGCAGGCCTTGCGATAAAGCGTCGGGCGATGTGAATTTTACGTCGTCCAAGAGCGATTTTGCGTGTAGCTAGGGCTATTTGCGTCGAGCAAAAAATTTTTTGTTTGAGTATATTTAAAGATATTTTTGAGCGGAATTTTAATGAAGTAATTTACAAATATTTTAACATTTAATAAAGTATTTTAAAAACCGCACGCAGTTGAAATAAAAGTTTGAATTTAAAAAAATTAAATATGCTCATTATTTACAAGTAGAAAAAAATCAAAAATTAAAAAAAAAGTTTAAATCTTTTAAGCTAACATTTAATTAAAATTATCTAACATTTAATTAAAATTGAACAAAAATACTTTCTTTTAGTTTTAGATTTTAAACTTAAATAATTATTTACGGGGGTTTGTAAGGTTTTAAAATTATTCCATAGATTTAAAAATATTTATTAACTGATAGACGTATTTAAATTATTTAAGAGTAATTTCGAGGAAATATTTTAAAAATTGGTGAGGGCAAATAAAAAAATAAAAAAGGATTAATATTAAAACGTATTCTACTTGATTCAATAAAAAAGTACAGTTATTAAAATTTTTGTAAAAAGTAACTCAAAAAAATTACTTAAATAATAACGATCGCTTTTATGTTAAAAGTTACTGAAACTCAACGAAGCGTGCTCAAGAACAGCTGCTGAAAAATAGAACGTCAATAGTTTTTCGAATAATTTTTAAGAATAATTTTTTCACTGAAATATTTCTTTTATTCCTAAAAAATTTTTATCCTAACATTTTATTTTTTTTTACTAGAAATAAAATTCCTTGTTAACATTAAAAATCTATTCAAAACATTCGTTTAAGTTTTTTATTAATACGAGTGATTGTGCTTATCAACCGCTTTATGAAAATAAATAAAAATAAATAAATATTATATAAAATCGCTTGTAAAAATATTAGCTATTGCACAGTTTTTAATCGTACAATATTAAAATTTCCAGTTTATTACTCGCTGACTTTTTAAAAAGAAAAAATAACTATTTGAAAAACTTTAAATTACATATTTAAGAAAAAAAAAATCAAATATTGGC